CCGTGCACATCTACAAAAGTAACCTAATAGCCATCCAAACCTTAAGGGGTTTTTTTTAACCGATCATTCTGACAACACATAATAGCAATTTATTTTTGTACCATCTACCACATTAGTCATCTGTCCATTCTGATCATGATTTGCAGATCCCCCCCCCGCGAGTGAAAATCTTTTTTAGAATGTAAACAGCAGTAGCTATTAACACATTCTTGCAATCCTACATATTCCTCCCAGAGTTGCCATTAAAACCTCCATACTGTATCATTCCAAATCACGTAACCAACTATCCTCTAGTCTGGTTGGGAGTCTTTCTGAATGAGTCACCATTCATTCATTAGCAGTTCAGAAGGCTCGCCTTTTAAGCTATATGCAAGGCACTTACTACAAAGCTCCATTAGGGTTCTTGGGAGCAGAGAGAGGCCAAGAGAAGAAAACATCTTCTGGCTACACATCAAGCCAACAAAAACTGTCCTCATCACAAAGCACTGCTCAGTAAGACTGTTCAGGCCTCCTTCTGTATTCAACACTCTGTATAACTTCAGTATCAGATGTTCCATGCAGGGATAATAATGTAGAAGATCAGGCAAAGAAGTCTGATGTTCTTTAACCAGCATGGTGAATTCTCTTGTAACTTTTCCCATACATGAGAAACTGTCTTTTTAACCTCTGTTTCATTTGCCACAAAACCAACAGTGCAATATCTCTAAGTAAAACTATCCTGGAAAAACAAATTCTGAATTTTCCTACATGGGACAGGAATATCTGCATTTTGTGCATGTGTGCACTGCAACTTTGAACCACCTTCTTGAGCTTTTGAGAAAGCCACCAAGCTTCTGCTCAAAATATACAACAATCACATATCACATACTTGCTTGCTAAGTTCATTACTGAAAGTATACCACATGTTGCCTGCATGGAAACTACTAATTTTGAAAGAGAGAAACCACCTTTAGAGCTTGATACCTCTATGAGTAAAGCAAGAGCCATGACAATACATATTAACCAACTAAAGACAATTACTTTAGCCAACAATAACTTACAAAAAAACAGTGCAATGAAATGGAGGAGGAGAAGGGAGGGAGAGAGTAAGAAAATCTTCTTATCTGTCTTCATAATAAAACTAAAAAGGTAAAGTACTTAGGGCTGTTACGAAACTGTATTACACTGAGAATGAAAAAAAAAACACAATCAGGATTGTGTCTATTTGCTGTAAGCTTAAAGCAACATGTATTAAAGAAGTTTATGTGAATCATCTAATGCACTCATGCCTATTATTAGAATTATTACCAAGCTAAAAAAGATTAATTTCTCTAAATACAGCAAATCCTCAGACACTATTATAAGGCTGGTACTAGTCTAGCATTACTATATCTTGAATTTCAGTGCTATCCCTACACACCTTACACTTTGGATCTAACAGGTCTCTTTTCATCATGAAAAAATATATTAAGCCACTTTTCATAAGGGACAAACTTACCTCAGAAGCAGCTACAACTTAACATCCCACAACAAAACGTGGCCTGTCTAGCAACTCATTTGTTGCTACATGTAAATATCAACCTGCTAATCCTGAAAAGTATTTACCTGAGTGTTGCAGATGTCAGCAGAAGCTGCATGCATGTAACACTGAGACTGAAAAGCATATATACTATTTCAAACATAATCAAGAAACAGACTTGCAGGGCTGTTGAACAAATGGAGCCGTTCACAAGTGGGGTAGTTGCCATGGCTCAAGGGAAGCACAAAGAGGGTAGTTCCAACTAAGCTTTAGTCTCCCTCTCCTCAGCCTTCCTGGTGACAACAGCACCTGAGAGCTGCCAATGAGGAGCAAGGATCACATGCGCTCTCTCCCCACAAAGGGCTCTGCAACTCGCCCAGCTGCTTAATTTTCTGACAAAAGAAAAATGGTGGCCAAATCATTACAGCAAAAAGTAAGCTATTGCACTTGGGCATGTTTGTTACTAATATTGGTTCACTGTTACCCCTCTCAAGTGAATGACAGTCTCACAATTGGGTGGAGGAAAATTAAGTACTATTTGTGTATGGGGGAATCTACTTGTTGGGGGGGGGTCCTATTTCCTACTGCTGACACTAGGGTCACCAGTGGCAGGACAGAGCTTCGCCTCCCCCAGCACCAGCCCCAGCGACCATCCACCAGTCCTTGTGCAACTGAGCGGAAGGGGCAGAGAGAGGCTGCACTCTCCCCCTCGCAGGACAAACACCGTGGTCACAGCCTGACCCAGCCATCATCCTGAGAGCAAGCATATACAGAGTTTGCTTCCCTGCCCGAAATGATACTCTCACAGCCATTGCCCTGGGACTAAGGAACCACGAGGAAGGCAATTCTAGATGCATCACTCTACCCAAGCACCAGCAGCAAAGGAAAATCACCCTGCCTCCAACAAAACATTGCAACTTGCTCTGCCACTGTCAAACTGATCTCTCACATTTTTTTGCAAACCAGGGGACAGGGCCAGAGTCCCTCTTTTTTCTTTTTGACAGGTGGGATAGTATTTGAATAAAAGATAAATATACAAAATAAATAAATATATTTCCAATTACTACCTGCCACTCCCCAGTCTAACCAGTGAGTTCTATGGGGAATGTAAATTGGGGCACAGGGTACAAACTAGGGCACAGCTGCAAACTATAAGCCAGATACTAGAGTTAGAGTATCGCTTTTCTTTCCTTTTTTTTAAAAGACATGATGCTTTCTGTTATTGCATGCGGTCACGGTATACACTTCTTTGTGCACAGGCATCAATAAATCCAAAAAATAACTTGCAAGCCTGTTCACTGTGGGATCTCTTTACAGATTGAGTCAAACCAAAATGACAAAATCAGATCAATGCCCAACCATTTGCCAATTTTCTGAGAAACACAATCCTACATTCCAGTTGGGGCTGCAGCATCAGGAGGGATAAAATTAACAGTAGATATAATGGCTTTAATGTGACATTTTCTTTTCAAAGCACATGCTTCCAAGTCAGAAGCAACACATAGGATTTAGCATGTTCATGATAAATCCAGAACACCACATATTTCGTAAATGTTCCCACATTTTGCCAGACTAGGAAGCCAGCTTCAAACTTTCTACCAAGAGCTTCTACCTTTGTGTTACAAGAGTTTCAGTTCCAGTCTCTGTGATCCTAAATACAGAAACCAGGACCCCAATTCCCAATTATAGGTTACCAAGAAGCCTGGAGCCACTTCTCTGTTGTTAGGTCTTCACGCCACTCCAGTTAATATCCACAGAGATAAACCATGCAGCATTAGGAAAAATTATACAGCTCTTTCCTTTGCCAACAAACCCTTTCCTTTGCAGCTGAAGTCAACAGCATGCCCTGCAGATTCCAAAGAAGTATGCATCCAGAAGGCTTGTTTCCATAACAGACTTAAAAATCAGGTGCAGCATTAACTGACATCAACAGGGTTGCCTTCCAGGTTTTTAATGTGACTACCCAACTTTCATTCCCCACACTCACTGCCCAACTTTCATTCCCCAAGTTCTCCCTGCATTCTTCTGAGCCTCAATTCAATGTTACTTTGGACAAAAACAGTTCTTTACAGCTCCCACAGTCTGCTTAGACAGAAGGACATAGCAATTTGATTTTTATTTGTTTATATCCTGTCTTTTTTTCCTCTTACAAGAAACTCAAGATGGCTTACATAATTCTTCTATTTTTTCCTCACAATACTCTTGGTTAGAATAGGCATCAGTGAATGACCTAATAGAGGTAGGTTAAAATAGAGGCAGGAGTCAATGAATGACCAAACGTCACTCAGCAAGCTTCAAGACTAAGTTAGGATTAGAACACAGATCTCCCAAGTCCCACTATGCCACACTGGCTCTCAGTCTGATGCAGTCAATGTGGCACAGGTAGAGCAATGGGGTGGAATCCTAATTAGCAAACTTACTTTCAGCAACCATGAAGTGTGCTGGAAAAAAAGGGCAATAAACCTTTCCTTTTACAGAGTATCAAAACTGACATGCTTCTGGGAATTGAGTGCTCTGCCATCACAGGTAACCCAGAGTCTAGGCATCAGAGAAGTTGACACGTCAGAGTTTATCCAGAACACTTCAGCACAGTTAGCTTGGGGCAATGTCCCCTCTAACAGGATAGGGTCAGTGTAAAAAGCTTCTAACGTTATCCTCCTTGGGGCTTGTAGTGCTATAGTTATTCTAAAAACATTTTGTTCTCTACAAGAAAGCAAACTCCAGATTCTTGTATCATAGGCACCTCTTATTTAACCCCAGGGCCCCAAGCATTAATGCAGGGGGTGGGGTAAACCATTTACTGCTTCACAAAAGGGGGGAGCACAATCCTGCAATTCAAGTCAATGTCTCCATGCAAAACGTAGCCACCTTGAAAATGTTTTTCTTTTTGAAGCCACTTTATTCCTCCACCACCACCACCACCACCACCACCAAAAATTAAAGAAATGGGAAGCACACACAAGCAAAACCCTTTGGGCCAATATTCTAAAGCCAACATTACTGGCTCTATGGCTGCAATTCTATGCTTGCTTTCCTTAGAATTAGGCCCACTGAACCCAAAAGTACTTACTCCCAAGTAAACATGCACAGGTTTGCACTACACAGCAAATGTTTAATTAATTCTTATACATACAAGCTTCAGAAAGCTTTTAAGAGAACATCCCTTTTCTAAAGAACATTCAACATTCAAATAGAGCCATTTACTTAAGTCAGAAAGTTTGCAAATGAAATTTCAACATGATAAATATCATCTCTGTATCTCCTTCACCCTCTTTATCCTCTGGTGCCACAGGAAGATGCATGACTATGTAACTGGATCAATATGCACCACCTTAAAGTACTCAAGATAAGTATCTGAGCTAGATTCGCACAACTGTGACTTTATCAAATATTATTCAACCAAGTCAGAATGCAGTGGTAGCATCCTATTTTTCCACTGCATTCACACAGGTATGCCACAACAATATGAGTTTGTCAAAGGGATTAAAAAATTGTTACTCACGTAATCATGAAAGGCTTTTGCTTCACTTGAGTGTTCACAAGTATCTCGCCTTTCAGGAGCTGCACAGTATAGGTCCCAAAATACACTAAATAGAGAAGGAAAGAGAAGTCCTTTACTATTTTTATACAAACGGCAACAAACCTACAAAACAAGTTTAACCCTTCCAGCAGCTAAATAACAAAGGGCCCTCTTGAATCTCATTCAATCTTTAATTGAGGATCAACTGAACACCTCACTTTTATTCTGCTCAAGACTTTCACCTCCAATAATACACAACTAATGACAGCCAAGTAACATATTTAGAGATAACATTTCAGTGTATATACTTCAATGAAAGAGTTCCACTTTCAGAGCCTGTCAAACTTTTTTTCTTCTTAGAAGATCTTCCCTTAAACAATTTAGAATGTTGTGTTTGCTGCTGTTTTGCCTAAGTGTACACTACTGTACATTCAACTATGCTTTTAATCCCCCACTCACTGGAGCCAAATGTGTCCAATTCAAGCTGTGTTCCTCTATTAAACCTGAACATATCTCCTTTTACATATACATCAGAAGGTAATCTATTAGAGCTGTTCCACTTTGACATTAAATGCCATACTGTCAATACAACATTGATTTCATCTTCTGTCTTGGATTTTACACATATTTAAGCATTGCTATTATAGAAACCCTCAATTAATAACATTAACTGTGTACCCTCTTTGTAACGAGCATACATTTATGCAATCTGTAAATTATCCAGTGTTGTGCAATGATTTGAGTGTGACCAGTATTTAGGAGATGCAGTATCATATTCCTACTCAGTTGGGAAGCTCACTGGTTGCAGTGCTCACTGTATGCCCACCTAACCTACCTCACAGGATTGTAAGAGGAATACATTGGGGATGGAAAGGAAGAGAACCATCTACGCTACCTTGAGCTATTGAAGGAATGGGATATAAGTATAATGAATAATTTTAGTTTCCTCAGGCACTCAAATAAGCAAGATAAATTGGTGGAGGGGAGGGATTCCTGTGCTGTGCTTCAAAGTGCTCCTGTGCTATTTTTCACTAAGACTTTAGATGCCTAAATGGAATTTTTGCCTCAGCTCTAAGCTCTTGACTGGTAATGACTACACTCAATAATAGAACCCCAGATATTTAATATGGAGTAACAGTCCCAAGTATTGTTAACATGTGACAATTAAAAATATTTTCCCAAAAATACTGCAACGTAAGATGAGAAGGAAAAAAATACCCATTAAACTTTCCTACTATCTAGGTTTGGAACAAAGCAGACCTCAAAACCTATGCAATTCCCAGTCCCTCAGTTACAGTTATTAGCCAACTCACAAGCCTAATCTGCCTACCGAAGCAGCACATCCTTCAACTCTCAATCACAGCCTAGACATGATTGTGGGCACCAAACTGTATAACATACATCATGCTGAAAGTGTTGCATTCCATGCTAGCAAACTACACATAAGAACAGCATCACAGAAAATGAGCAACTCTTTGAAGAAATGTGTTGCAGACCAGGTTGGGTGTGATGTTTCTATCAGCCAATATCTTGTTACCAGTCACGCTGAACTTGTCCACCAGACATCTCTATGAGGGCACACACTCACAAAGCAGAGTGCCTTATTGTGAGTACCATATGCCAGTAAGCCTAAGAGTAAGCCAAAGAAAAGGGGCCCACTTTTCTTTCAAACTTTTAAACTGAAAGTAGACATTCATCCAAAAGACTAAAGAGGACACTTTTACAAAGTGTCAAACTACTGATCTGTACTACCAGGTATTTAGAGTGGGTGTCTTAAACTTCAAAATGAGAGGAGGACAGGTGATGCATTTAACACCATTAAGTGCTCCACATCCCTTCTTGCCCACAATCTAAAGAAACAAAACACAACCTTCTTGAAATCTGAATCTAAGGGCCTTCTTGTGTCTTTCTATGGAATAAGACGACTGCATGCAACATCCACTTTGTATAGTATGGACACAGTTCCAAAAACAAAACAAAACCAAACCAAACCAGACAACTGATCTCAAGACTCTCCTTGAAACTTCCTCTCTCCGCTCTTCAAAATTTATTCAATTAAATCCTACCTAGGATGAAGAGACAAACTTCCTCTACAATCCTTTCTATGCATCAACAAAGAAGCACATGGTCAAGTCAAAACTTTTGCCTGGGACATTCTTTCCCACTTATAGTCAGCTAATCCCAGAAGTTTCTATTTGAGGAAGAGAAAGAAGCAGCTTACCACCACCATGAATGTAAAAACCCAGGAGGTTCTCCTAATGTGATGTTTTTTTCCCATCGGATCTGCAAACAGCAAAGGATGCAAATAGATTAGGTTAACGCAAGGAGGGAAAAATGCTTCTCCCACACTCTTACCACTACACCCCCCCACACACACACTTTACCTCCCCTTTCCCCCCAAACAGTCTCTGAGGCCAACTAGCAATAATGGCAAAAGGTGATAAAAAATTCAAAATGGAGGCCACAGTGCCTGCTTCTGAAAACAAAGGCTATCTAAAGGGGAGGGGGGAAGGAAGGGGGTCAAAAGTAAACAAAGTCACTCACCTCTGATAAAAAGGTCTGTGCTGATTTCTGTGCTCCTACATGCAGCAAGTATTCATAGACATACAAAGCTAGCCTGTAAAAAAGGGCAGAAGGGGGGTGGCACAAACATAAGAATAAGCAATTCCCCTTCAACGAACAGGACTTTTTAGATTTGTCCCACCTTCACATAAAATGTCCTTTTAAAACCTTTTCAAAAAGTGGGAATGGGCACAGGTTAAAACCTGGGCAGAAAAAAAAATATCACTTCCTTCCTGCCTTTGGTGCAGAGAGAAATGAGTGGTGTCTTGCAACTCCCGCTTCCCCACCACCAACATCCCACCTCAAAAGATAAGTTGAGAGTAGCTCAGTGCAGGAAACAAAATGCAACTTCTTCAGGCACATGCCCGACTTGTAATGCAGCCAGCAGCATCCAAAGCCATTCACCAATGCTTGCTGCAACCCAGACAGAGATGGCTATGGGGATCTAGCTCTCTCCGCAAGCGCCTGGACAAATTTGGGGATGTACGGCTGATTTGGGAAGCGTTTTACCACACATACACATCTCTCCCCCCCCCCACACACACACACCCCAAAATCGTCTGCTACTAAATCCCTCAATTTTGCTATACTGGCGAACTCTGGAAACAAGGTGGAAAGCAACCAGGGCCCACGAAAAGGTTACTAACCGCTCGTTGCCTGGACAAAGCCCTTCACCCCTTCCCAGTTACACAGACGGACAGACACTTCAGACAAAAGGACGCGATGCAAGCCTGCATGCGTTCCTCCATCATGCCTTTTTTTTTTTTTTTTTACACCCGCCACCCTTTTGCTTCTCTACCCGTCGCCTTAAATCACCACGCCACAGAACCCCAGTGGGAAGATTATTTCCCATCCGCCCTCCCCCCAGCCTCCCGCCCCTGACTCTCGGTCTCCACGCTCGTCCCCTCCAGATGCCCGAGCTCCCTTCAAGACAATAAAGGGACGAGGAGAGCAGAACGCCTGCAGAAGGAAACCATGCCCAGCTCCCCGGGGGTCTCGAGCTCTGTCTCGACGCTTACTTTTCCCGAGCTTGCCCATCCGAGGGCACCGCCGAGCCTTTGCCTTTGGCGAACATGGTCCGCAGTAAGGAACAGGCGAAACTGAAGCCGCCGCCGCCGCCGCCGCCGCCTGGCTTGCTTCGATGCTGCTCTGCTTCCCAAACCTCGCTCTTTCCCTCAGCTGTAGCTTTTCCCGGCTCTGCCGCTATAGCTCCACCGCTCGCCCTGGTCGTAGCTGTCAAAGCCCCAGCCCCGGCCTCGACCCCATCGCCCTGCCCCTCTCCTCGGCTCCGGCTTCTTTCCCAGCTGCTCCTACTGCCGCTGCTGCTGTTGCCGCTGCTGCTACCGCCGCCACCGCGGCTACCCCCGGCTCAACCGAACGTGGCTACACTAGGGATAGAACGCGGCGGGCGTCAACGTTCCACAATGGATACATTCTCCGGCCAATCAGCGACCTGCGGGGGGAAGGGCTGCTCCGCCCTTGAACAGCAAGTTTAAGGTGGCACCAAGGGAGATGTAGCAGGCCAGCGGTAGGGAAAGATAAGCCTGCTCGGACTGCTTCCTAAAGGGTCCCCCCAACTGGGAGGGGGGCCTTCGCCGTCGCCGCTTCTGCTGCCTAGGGGCTGAGCTGGGACCAGGCTGCCTTTCTTACACCGCTCCCTCCTCAATCCAGGTACCCTCCCCCGAATCTCAGCCTCACCACCAGCCACCTTCCCGCTGCCTCCCTCCCCATTCACTTTTCCCCTGTATTGGTCTCTGCTTCCAAACCGAATTACAGCCTTTCTCCTAAGCCGTCCTCACTGGCTGCACTACGGTCCCCCCCGCCCCCATTTTCCTTTCACGACTGCATCTGCCTTCCTCTTTCTTTTTCTTCTAACCCTGCTGTTTGCTTATCCCTTCATCCTCTTTGCGTTCCGCCACCCCACAATTTTTCAGCCTTCCTTTTTTCTGCCCCATTACCTTCCACGTTGTTGTCCTCAGGGCTGCGAGGTTGAAGCTGCGATCCTCAACTAGCCCCTTTCACTCCCGAAATACACAGAAGTGGTGCAGTGGGTGTGTGTATGTGTCTTTCTCTCGGTGGGTCTTACGGATTACTGCATAAAACGTGGAAGTAAGAGGGTTGCACTCCATCTTACACGTGTTACTTACTCGGAAGTAATTCCCACCCAGTTCATCAGGGCTTACTCCCAAGGAAGCGTGCGGTGCATGGCTGCAGCTGAAATCCTGCTATGAAGCGGTGGTATACGACCGTTTGGCGGTAGAGGTTTTAACAGTGGGCCTTCTGGTAGCCATGTCTCTATTTACTTTTACAGCTCATAAATATGATTACTAAGAAGTAAGCCTTACCAAGTTAAGCATACTTAATTCAAAGTAAAAATTAATAGGAGCGCTTTCTTAAGCCTCTCTTTAATACTACTTGAATTATCCAGCTCCTCCTCTCTGCCGTCCGCACAACTCGCCTGGTCCCATCGACGCTATTTTTACTTCTCCTTTGGAGTGTTGGTGTGCAAATACTGCCTTCTTGCTTTTCAAAAGCTAGGCTTTTAGTAAAATTGATGAGAAAATCTTGATTACTCTAATACGAGGACCTGTGTAAAAAAAACAAAACAAGAACTCGAAACGGAAATCTCCCCTTTCCCCGGATCAGGGAGATAGAAGATGTGAGCCTGAGGTAATTTTTAATAAATGATCAACGTTTAGGGGCCCTTGAAACATACAGTTTTTAAACTATACAGCAGCAGAAAGGAAATGAACAAGAACTATTCATCTCCTAGGAAAGGCGCTTTCAAACAGCAACTACTCCCTGTCCCTGTTGAAAACTAAAGACCTCGATTTACGGTTCAGTTATTTCCAGAAACCTAAAGTTAGAGCCCTTGGGAAAGCTTTTTCCAGCCTCTACCCCCGCCCCCACCTCGAAAGTTGGTGACTTTCTCTTTAAATGTGATATAACCCGTTTGCTACTGCCCCTTTAAAAAAGACAAGCGGAAAAAGCTGTGTAAGCGCTGATTGGCTGCTTGTTTGGATACATCCTTAGGGGGGACTAGAAACTGTTCGCCTGGGTTGATTTTTTTTTTTTAACTGTGCTGTTCCAATAAACAAGTAACGCCCCTCCCCCTTACATGCCTATCACCAAACAATTAGAGGCTAGGTCAGTGTCCTGGGGAAAAAACAGTGGAAGAAGGAAAACTCAGCCTTAGAGTTAATATAAACTACAAGCGCAAACACGCCCATTAAAGTTCAGTGATGTTGTTCAAAGGTGTCTTTTTATGAAAAGGGCCAGAGTCTTCTGAATGTAGCAAAACCCTTTAACGATCTATGTATCTTTAGAAAACGATTTTATGTTCATTTTTGAAGTAACGTCCCTTCCTTCCTCTGCCCCGTTCTACAATCTTCCAAGAAAACGATACAACCTGGAGCTTTCAACTCGTCTTGATTTAATCTGCGCTGTGCGCGGTTACTGAAGCTTCCAAGGAAAGGTAACATTCAAAAGGGCTGCAAAACAGTCAGTCGGCTGTTGAAACTTGGAAGTTTTAAATAAGATTTTTTTTTCCGGTAGGTGGCATAGAATACAAAGAAGGGAAAAGGCAGGTCCCCCAAGCAGAATTTTTAAATATTTCAAACCTTTACACACACACAGGCTTTGTGTGAGTCAGCAGTAATTAAATTAGGCTATTACTGTTATTTGCTTCAAACTTCCTTAAAATCACAAAGTCTAGCAGTCTTCATCACTCATGTTGCTCAAAACAAATCCCTTTGCCGGTATTTATTTGTAAGAGTGTTATTAGCTATGATCCAGTTAAGTGATTGGTTCAGGGATCCATGATGTGGATTGATAAAATCCAAAGACAAATCAGAGCAAATGGTAAAAAACAGTTGAGAATTTAAGCCTCATACAAAATATAAATTTTAAAGACTGGGATTTAAACTCTTAATAGTAGAAAATATATTCTTGAACTGTGTAAGTTGAGATAGATGAGTAGTAGTAGCAGCAAGGTAGCTATACTAGGCTCTTCAAGCAGCATCTCATTAAAGAATCCTGTGGTACCCTCAATTTTAGTATGGTGTAAATGTTTATAGGCTAGAGCAGTCTTCACCAAATTGGTCCCCCCAGATGTTTTAGACTGCAGTTCATAACATTCCTGTCTGGGTTGCAGGGAACCTGAAGTCCCAAACATCTGGAGGATATAAGTTTGAGGTAGGCTGAGCTAGAACCCACTTTGTCAGAGTCATTAACTCTATTGGAACATGCACAGGATTGTGCGCTACAAACCTTAGTTAAGCAAAGGCACTGATTAGACTGATAATTGAACCTATAGGAGTACATAATATAATTGTCATTTGCCACCCAAACCTATGAATCTGGATAAATGTCTATACCATTTTAAAGGCCAATCCAATAAAACTTTGGAACCAGAAGTTACCTGAAATTAAAGTAGCCCAAGTTCTATCATGTATTGATGTGGTTGCTTCTCTGCATTAGATTTGTTTGTCAAAAGAGATCCACCAAAGTTAAAGGCTTGGCATTTTCAATCAAAACCCCATTTTAAACCGAGGCAGCAAAAGCCACCCATCTAGATATAGTTTGATTTCTGTAGGTTTGACTATTTTCCTCAACTTTGTACATTTTGAAACCCTGGGTGATTCCAACATTTATGTGAGTGGCTTTCCATTTATGCTAGGCTCCCCTAACCCCCCAGCAGATCTGGGGCATACAGAGAGGCAAGTAATTTTAGACCTTAAACTTAATGCTTGTAGGGGTTATCTTTAGATGCAATTAAGGAGTTAAGCACACAACTAAGAATCTCCTGACTCATAGAAAAATGCCACCACTCTGCATAATCATATGTGATATTTCACACAAGCTCTGGGCATTTAAAAAGAGAACGACTAAGCAGGTACCTACATAGACTGTACCCTGTTTTGCTTGTTCCCAGCAGTGGAGGAAATCATGGCATGGGATAGCACTGAAAACAAGAGAGTGCTTTTCCTTTTTTTGGGTTTTATCTAATATTAGTCCTACTTCAAGTAGGCTCATTGGAATTAACAGAACTTCAGCTAGATTAACATTGGATAGAACCCTTTGTCCCTCAAATAGCTGCAGCATAACAGATTGGCAGAATCTATTCTGTTATCTGCTGTTGCTATTTCATTGTTGTTGCATTTAGTGTATCAGATTTTGGCCACTGAAACTCTGTAAATATCAGCAATGGTTATGTGAGGACAGTTATTATTGTACAGATGCATTTCTAGAGAGATGATTTCATTCCCCATAAGAGCAAAATGTAACAGGCTATCCTAATAGCACTGAACCAACACTCCATCTGGCTGTGTACCATCAATGTTGACTGGCAGCAGTTTTTTGAATGACCTCTTTCCTAGCACTGGAATGTGAAATCTTGTCCCAGGGATTCAGCCTCTAGCCTTCTATCTGTAAAGCTTGTATTCTGCCACAGCCATGTGCTGCTAGCAGGTTGTGTGCACCGGGAGCATTTCTGAAAAGCAGGATTGCATTCCTACAAAAGGGTGTAAGCAATGACCTAGGAGAATTATAATTCCTTGGGCAAAAATTTCAGGCAGCAGAACAGGATATGGCAAACAACATATTTTACTACAATTGTCAACTTTTCCCATAAGTGTCAGCAGTTGCTCACAAGATCTGCATGCAGATTGTTGAAGGAGGGGGTGTGGCACTGGTTTACTGTAACCATTTCTGCCAAAATATGAGGCTGTGTGCCCTGAAATACAAACCCAAGTAATGCATTATGAAAAGAAAAGGGTGTTATGTTGCTACTGTGCAGCACCTCAGGTTTAAAGCTTGGGCAGAGGGAGATCTTACAGTGTCAAGCTGAAGGAGGAGTTGTGATGGAGCATTGCTTTCTCCTTTTTTTTTTTTTTTTTGCAGGGGGGGGGGGGGACGAGACAGGAGGGGAACTGCTTTCAGCCTTCAAGCACTGATACTGTGCATATACTGACCAGTTCCCCTCCCTGTTCTGGAAATGCCAATCGATAAGATGAGCAAGCACAAAATGAAGAGCAGCAGTGGAAGAAAGAAAATACCCCCCCCTTTTTAAAATCATAGTGAAGTGTGATCCTTAAACTTCTATCTTCCTCGCCATCTGAAACCTGCATTTTTAAATACAGAAAGAATTTACAAAGTTGAATGGACCATTTTCTACTAACAGAAACTTCATTTTAGATGCCTCTACTGACTTTGCTTTTGGCAATACATGCTCTTTTTCACTGCTCTTTTCCCTTCAGGTTGGAGAGCTGCAGTGAAGTCAGAAAAAAAGCCCTTCTTGGTGACATCACCCTCTACCAGGAGGATTGACAGGATGTGCCAAATGCAGCCTTGTGAGCTCAACTGCAAGGAGAACCAAATGGATGCACATGATGGGCTGGGAAGAAGCCAGCCTTTCCTTTCAACATAAACAGCCTCCCAAAGTGCAAGGAAGAACAAGAGGACTGGTGAAAGACAGGAATTTATGCTTGGGACTGTTATATTTACAGGCCGGATTCCAACTTTCTGTAAAATTTCCTAATTAAATGTGGCTAAATATGATGGGCATTTTTCAAGTAGATCTGAAACATGATCATGACATGACCTGTTCCATTTAAAATCCCCTTAAAGCCATATTGATTAATTCCTCCACTATGAAATGCATGGAATGAAATAATATGGAACATGCTCCTGCAACACAAGGATTCAGCTGTAGAATTCAGTGCCTGGTCAGCTATGGAATTATTTTTGGAGCCTGGACAATGTCAGTTGCCTAAATTGAGCTGCAGTCCATTGAATTCAATAAGACAACACAAGCAGACACTATGAATAGGGTCAAGATGTTACAGCAGCTCATAATAATATTCTAACACAACAGTTATCCATTGTATTTTATAGAAAATGGGAAAATAAAAATGTTACAGGGAAATTTTATATTGTGGAGTAAAAATCCAGGCTGTTGCAATCCCTTCTTATTTCAGAGGGGTTCTTTTTACCATTTCTGAGCTGGTAGTGGTGCCTAAATAATAATAGCAGCCAGGGGATAAAATGATGGGTCACTTTTTTTTGAAAGAAAATAAAAAATAAAAGTGGATTTATTTCACTAGAGAAAAGACTAAATAGTGAGATTCAGTAAAATTCAGTTCTAGCTATACATGGTCAAGTGCTAAGGTGGTAGTTTGGATTTCACTGAATAAGACAACAAGTGGAAAATCATTTTTAATGAGAAGTTTTCTGTGAACAGAAAACCAGTACATTTTTTCATGATCAATGGGAGCAGTCTGTTAAAACCAACAGCACCCTAATATGAATACTTTGCTTTTGGACATCTTTGTAGACACTTTAACATCTTTGCCTAATCCAAGGACAAAAAATGAATTTTTCAACCATGTAAAGACCATAGTTGCTTCCTAATAGCCTGCTCCAAGAAACCCAGCATGCTGCATGAGTACTAAAATGCCATAACTCTGTATGATTAGGGAGAAAAATGTCCAACATGTTCCAGCCAGCCAAACTGGGTGGGGGTATGCTGGGAGTTAATAAAACTTCTTTCTAAATCTGCACAAGATTGTGCCCTAACTCACTGAATGCTTTTTGAACAGCTAAGCACTATGGTTTATAAAGACTCACATGAACTTTCCTACCAATTGCAATCGATCTGGAAGGCCCCGCTCCATTTGAAATGTGGGTAGTGATACAAGCAGTGCTCAAGTTACAAAGGAGTTCCATTCTTGAAAATGGGGAAATTTGTATTTAAGTCATTTGTCTTTATATGCAAGTCAGATCACATATACCGTATTTTTCACTCTATAAGACGTGCCTGACCATAAGACGCACCTAGTTTTTAGAGGAGGAAAACAAGAAAAAAAATACTCTGAATCAAATGGGCACATAATCACAGGCACATTCCCCATCACTTCCCCATGGGCTGCACATCTGACAGACTTACTGCACACACATATTCGCTCTAAGACGCACAGACATTTCCCCTTTTGAGGGGGAAAAAGTCTTGTCTTATAGAGCAAAAAAATACGGTAGTTGGTCCTCCACATTCCACTAGAGCAAATATCTCTAGTCCTTCCCCCCCACACCAGTGCCACCTTTTTGCAGCAAGGAAATGCAGGACAGATTTCCCTCTCCAGATGGGTGGGGCTGGAAGGTCTGCTTTGGAGGCCTCCCTCTCTCCCCTTTTGCTTCCTCTCTCTGTGGTGATGACAATTTCCTCAAATTTTTAAATTAATAGGCTTTATGGCAGTTTGTAAGTGCGGGTTTTTTGTAACCCAGACATTTGTAACCTGGGGACTGCCTGTACAGCCTTCTCTGCTGCGCAGCTCCTTTCCCAGAATGGCTCTCCATTTGCCCTCTCTAGTATCTTGTTGGCATCAGATGAAAATTTGCCCAGGTGTTTCAAAACAGTGCCTTTGATTCTTTTTAATGTATGTATTTTATATTAAACTAAACTACTGTTGCCATCAGTCACCAAGGTTTCACTGTATTTAGTGTAGCTATTGTTGAGGTACTTTGCCATGCCTTAATCTGTATGACGCTTTGACAGCCAAGATTTACCATTTTTAAATAAAAATGTTTTAATAAATCTTTCAAAACTGTTACGTTATTTTTATAAATGAGAAAGATAAGACTAAAGCAAGATAAAGGGTTACTCTATTACACAGACAACTTGGGGAATTCTACTCGTAGTTCTGCTTATCACCTTGTTAGGTTTCCAACCAGTTCTCCAGAGGGCAAACTTTGTACATCCTGCATTGTACGACTTTTCTTTTTCCTTGTCATTGCCATTCTGACATTCATTTCTATGGAAACAGTAGCTGAGACGCAGCTACTGAAACTAACAAAAACTCCTGATCACAGCCATTGGCTTTTGGTTACAGTTTCCATGAGAACAGATGTTTGGTCACCATAAGGGGAAAAAACACTCAAATACATCCTTTTGTCACAGTATATATGAATGAATATATAATCTTTAGCGTGCACCCTCAGTAACTCATAAGCAGGTTGTACTTAATGAACGTGTGATGATAAAAGGCCACAGCATCCAGGGCGAGCATGGGTGGGCACCTGCCTTGGGCCAACACCCCAGCAGGGACCCACGGAAAACCCCCAACAAATCCTGGAGTTGCTGTGCCTCTGCCTTGTTGCAACCTGCTTCTTCACCTGCCTTTGTCTCTGGCCCCGAGTTACAGGGATGAGGCAGCGGCGGCACAGTAGATGCTAGCATCTGCTTCCTTACTGGCTCTCTGTCTGCCAGACAAACAAGGGTAGCATGATGTGAAGGAACAGCAGCTGGTGACAATGGCAGCAAGAAGGTAGACTCATCAGAGGAGGGGGCTCATTAAGGGTGCATTGCCCACAGGCTTCAGAACCTGGAGATGGCTCTATATCCTGGTACAAATAATTGTACATCAAAAGCTGCATGTAAGCAGGTGCAGCAAAGGGAATAACAGCATCCACTGAAAGTCCAGTGTGTCACCTTAATCATAGTTTGATCCTGTCAACATCTGATAAGAAGTGCAAACCTACCCCTTTGCCATCTGGGCTTGGAGGAGGCTGCCATGTTCATTACAGGGCAGAGTTCTTGTCCTGTTAAGAGCTTTAGAGAATCTCAGGATGTTTGTGGGTCTGACATTTACAAAGATTTAACTCTCCAAGGCTCCGGCAGAAGTCATTCACCTCACCTGCCACCTGATCCTTTGAATTGTAGCTGCTGGGGAGTGAACTTTGGGCCTTGTGTCTGTAGAGAGAGAGCTTTGCGCTGAGCTGCCTCCTTCACCCCAACACAATGCCCTTCCAGTCCAGTTTGTTCAGTGTACAGCAATACAGGTTTGCCCCAATTACTTGAAGACATGCGTCCTTTTGGGTAGGCTAATTTGGTTTTAGGTAAGTGTCATGAAAGGCTAGTTAGACAACAACTGGTAATTGGTACAAAGCACAGAAGCGGCTCTTGTAGGCTCAAGCTGGATAGCGTAGGAATTTCTTCCTAGAGGACAACTTAGAGACCAGGACTAATGTATTAAGAACTGTCCTGTCCCATTGAGATGAAGTAATTGGTAAAAGTAATTGAATGGCTTTATGCATCATCATGTTTTCATAACTAGTATTAGCTTTTATAACATGACCCCTGTCCCCCCTAGCATGAACTTGAACAACCTTGCATTCAGCAAAGTTTTAGCCAAGCTCTTCATTTTCCTGTTGGTTTAAGTTATTCAGCAAAGCCCTGTTCATGCCTCTTTATGGGTCATGGTGAGTGTATCAAATGACTGGCTCAGTTGGAGTCATTTCACCTGACATAATAATAATAATACGTTGGGCCAAGGAAGTAACATTTTCTCACTCTGCCATTGACAGGGTGTATTCTGAGCTGAGAACATATCTAGCCTGATTTACATTTATCTTAGCCCAACAATCCTCATCTGTAAGTCTACAGGAATTTACCAGAAGATGTTTTGCTTAAAAAAAAAAATCAGTAAGTCCCACCCAATGGTCTCATTGGTGGCATAGACCCTGCCCAAGAACCCCCCTTCTACTAAGAATCATATAGATCAGGGGTCCTCAACATAATGCATGTGGAACACTTCTCCCCATCTCATTTTTAATATACATGCATAGATTTCTATAGAGCTATGGCATGAATACTTGAAATGAATACAACTTCCTAGCAATTTATGTAAGTGTCAGTGAAAGCAGACCAAATAGTCAAGTAAGTATTCATCTGACGGTAGGATGTATATGCCATCCATTCAAATAATGGAAGTATAGCAATGGCCTCAATCCACTATACTGTTTATTCTCCTAGTCTTCTACTATCAGTCTTTTAGGTCTCAGAAGGAATGGAGATTTATGCCAACCATTTGTTAATTTCCACAAAGCAGATACTTTTAAGGGCATGAAAGACTGTTCTAGCACAAAGTTTATCTGTGTAATAACCTTCTCCGCAAAAGATTAACTACTGGGCTGCCAAAACATTGGCTTGAAAGGAACATTAGCTACATTGTGCCACCAGCAATTACGCAAGTTAGAGAATCCTCAGTTAAGGAGAGATTGTGGTAATAGACACATGAGAAAGGTTTTTGCTGAAAAAAAGACCCTGAGATCCATGGATACAACAGGCAGTTGTCAAAGCAGTGATCCACAGAGCAAACACTTTCTGTTGGTCTCCACAGCAGTTATTGAAATTTCCAAAATGGAAATGTGTTCAGGCACATTAAAAAGCTAAACATAAATTTAAAAGGCTAGTATTAAACTCCAATAGTAGTAAATCTATTCTTGATTTGTGTGAGTTGAGATAGATGAAAAGTAGTAAGGTAATACTTACTACTAGTCTCTTGTAGCAGCATCTCAATAAAGAATCCTGTGGAGCCCTAAATGCAACATTTTACTGTGGCATAAATGTTTATGGGCTAGAGCAGTCTTCCCCAAACTGTTCCCCCCAGTTGTTTTAGAATGTGGTTTGTAACATTCCTGCCTGGGTTTCAGGGAACCTGAAGTTCCAAACATCTGGAGGAGATAAGTTTGGAGTAGGCTGGGCCACTTCATCAAAGTCACAA